CACATTCAGGCAAGACGTCGTTGGTGTAGGGATCGTCAACACTGGGATAATCGACGCTGGAGCAATGTGATGTTTTCAGATGAGTCAAGGTTCACTGTTGATTTTTTGGACAGACGTAGGAGGGTGTGGCGTCGTCGAAACGAGCGCTTCCAAGACGTTAACGTCATCAGACATGATCGATTTGGGGGTGGTTCTGTTATGGTGTGGGGAGGCATCACTGTTGCTGGAAGAACGACTTTACATGTTGTTGCAGGGCGTGTTACAGGCCAGTACTACCGGGACAACATCTTGGCAGTCCATGTTGTGCCGTTCGCACGACGTCATGGCCGCCGTTTCATCTTCCAGGATGACAACGCAAGATGTCACAGGGCCAGGATCGTTACAGGTTACCTCCAACAACAGAACATCACCACATTACCTTGGCCAGCACTGAGTCCCGACCTCTCCCCCATCGAGCATGTCTGGGACATGCTTGGACAGAGGTTACGTCAACGTCAACAACGTCCTGCCAATGTCCAAGAACTTGCTGCTGCGTTGCAACAGGAATGGGACAATCTGGACCAAAATGACCTTAGACGTCTCATTAGGAGTATGCCACGTCGGATCAATGCTTGTTTGGCAAACAGAGGAGGATTTACCCGTTACTGACTTGGTTTTGATGGTGTGGTAACTTTGCTGTTTGACCCCGGGTATCATTTTACCCTTATAATGGTCAGTCTGTGCCTTACTTAGTCTAACGATCATTTGGAATAAATCGATGAATGTGAACTTCATTTCATTTTGTCATTTGTTTCTTCGTCAGTTTCATTAGGTGACTTTAATAACACTTAAAAATCAAATATCCCCTACTTTTTTTGAATAGTATATATAATCATATATCAAACACGCATGAAACTCACAGTTCGCTTTCACAGTCATCTATTAAAAGAAAGTTAAACTAAGTAGCTTACCCATTTGTGGAAAAGAGCCGGTGTTGACCTTCACTATTCTGTAACATGTGGTAATAATGCATGCATGTAATTTAGTTTTATCCCAGCTACACTTCCGAATAACCAACCAGGACAAAGAATTACATATCACCTGATAAACAACTTTTCAGACAGAGACCACATTCATAACTGAAAGACTCCAACGAGTTATCCTTTCAACTACCCAAAAAATATTAAAACTAAACCCACATAAGAAATAAGACATTTCAACCACTAACATAAAATAAACCATAATCCAGACAATATAATTCCAGACCCTTACAATAGAAAATCCACCACCAGAAACATCTTCACTAATTTATATTAGCTCAAAACCAAAACTATAAACTCACAAATTCAAAACTACCAATATTAAAGACACTGGCTAGGACATTCATAACCAATGTCAATTGACAGAGTCCCGAAATACGACCCTGTTACAATGAGAAGAAATGAAAATGCAGATATAATCCATAGTATGAGAAGCGATGCAATGGAATACCGCGACCTTAAAACACGACCAGTTGCTTGACTGACAGGTTTTAGCGACTAGTCATGATTTAAGAGCGGAAGATAACAGAGTCTGGTTGCTTTGATAAATGGTTACGTGTTTATTGTATTCTGTGGTCAACCACACAAACATGTGTTGTTCCAGTTGTGTGGGTACAGTCCAACTAACTGTTAGGAAGTGGCCTGAATCCTTGGAACACAACATATTTTGGAGTTACTTCCCTTACAAATCATTAGTACCGCGATCATTCTGTGTAGGATAAAGAACGAGACTGAGGTTATGCTGGGGAAAGAAAGACTGAAGAAAATAACCCGAGAAAAAGAAAAACCCATGCCGGTAGGCCAAGGTTTTTCTGTCGAGGGTTTTTTCTGAAGTCTTTCTTCCCAAGCATAACCTCAGTCTCGTGCTTTATCTTGTTTATAAACCGTCTGTTTACACGTACGCAAGATGAGAATATCCTAGAATTCCCGCAAGAAAAACCTTATATCATGTTTTCTTATGGAAAAAAACCTACCCTGGAAGAATAACCTGTTACAGGTTTAAAGAAAAACTTTCAGAAGAATAACCCCAAATTTCCCTGTATATATCCAAAACCTCCCCTGACTTTCAGACCGCAAGTTATTCTTGGCATAGAATATACCACAAAGATCAAAGAGATTTACCGTTTCAGGTTTATAAGTCCTATTAAATGGTTTTCCACGTCCTATTTTTCGGCACTAAACGTAATAATGTAGACAGACATCCGCTATGCAGTGTAATATGAGGGAATTATTCCGGGACAGCGGCGTTTCCGCCTATTCTATAGCGATTTTGGGTCTAGGACAACTGTCAGCGGACAATTGCCGGCGAGGACAACTGCCGGCCATTTTATTATTTTTTTTTAATTATTATTATAGTTTATAACTGTTGATTTTATGGGGTGTTTTCACTTTCCCAGCAGGTATTGTTTTCCAGGTAAAATCATTGGACCAGTACTAATTAGGGTAACAATGGTGTTAAAACTATAGTCTTTTTCATATCAATATTAACCACTTTACATAAAAGTTATTTTATTAACAAATTTAGCATGTACATATATATTTTTCATATCAATATTAACTACTTTACATACAAGTTATTTTATTAACATATTTAGTATTGTACATGTCCATATTCATATAAAGTCGTCAAACCAGTTCATAATCTTTGTTTTTCATCATGTATTCTTCTGTTTAATTCTATGTATTTTCTTTTCTTTGGACTGAAACGCCTCCATTTCCATATTGTAAAATTTGTATCTCTGTGTAACCATGTTCTGACGTAGTTCTATGAATCTAAAAATATTCGGGTGGTTTGACGATACTTTCTTTAACTTTGAATGCCAACCTTCAACATATTTTTGGTTGTTCTTGCACCTTCAGTGTAGAAATGGTTCCATAAACTTATATCTACACCTTCGACCCTTTGACATATGAACGAAAAATCAGACAGTGATTTATAGTTCATACATGTCATAGGTTAAATTGAACTGTTTCGTGCAATAATTAAAACAGAGTATAACTCACTAATCCATAACTAATCCATAATCCGCTTAATTAGTAGGGTTAATCTGCTGGGAAAGTGAGAACAAACCGATTTTATTGCCAGTGATTTTATTTGTTCTATTTAGTATAGTTTATTAAATGATAAATGAGGCAACAGTTATAAACTATACTTTAAAAAATGTATATATATGTATTCGTTATAAAAACATAACTGTTAATCTTATTGAAAATGGTTTCACTGTTGTTGTTTTTTTAGTATAGTTTATTACTTGATCACAGACACTGCACAGCGTGTACTAAACATTGTCCGTAAGTTCAACGGTTGCCATGTGTTGGAATATTCACGTGGCATTGCACATAATATTCACCTGTGATAATTTGTGTGTTAGTGAGTGCTATTAAAGATAGCTAGTTAGTGAGTGCTATAGACAATGTGTTTAGTAGACTGAACCTGCGTGATAATAATCAAGAATGTTTAATTAACAAGTATTGGTTATTTTTAATACAGAAAAAGAAATATCATCGGCAGCGTTGTCCCGCCCCCAGTTGTCCTGGTCCCGAGATTTAGTGGGGGTTGGGGCATGCCCCATTATCTGGAGGATAACATTCTTATTTCTATAGCATTCGTGGCCGGCTGTAGAATTTCGACAATATTTTTGGGAAATGCCTATAGGAAAATGAAATGAAATGGGGTTTAACGTCCTACTGTTCTGCTCCTAAACGGGGCTAATGAAGATGGGCATACGCCATGCAGTGTGCCATGAGGGAAATTATGCCCGGGCAGCGGCGCTACGGTCTACTCTTATATCGACTTCCAACTGCCAAGGGATCTTTTACGTGCACTCCAATGTGTACACGGGACCTCAGTTTTTTGTCCCATCCGAACGACTAGACAGTTGTCCTTGTCAGGCCCTCCGTCCTGCATCACTGACAAGGGGAAACCACGCCGGAAAATCGGGATGAACTTTCTCGGCCAATGCAGGGATCGAACAAATGCCTATAGGAAAATACTGTAGTATTGTAAAGATTGAGAGTGCAATTTGTAGGAAGTTCTACAGTATAGGAATAAACATTCTGAGTATAGGTTCACTACAGTTTCTGTAGGAATTGGTATATCGAAATTCTACATATTTTTTATTATTATTTTGGAAAAATATAGTTGACTCATGACATCTTCTAAATTGATTGGCCTATGTTGATTTCTCTGCAGATTAATTTGAATTCTACCGTTTGTTCACCAGGTAAACCATGACAAGTTCTCTACTTGGTAACTGAAATACAGGGAAAAACTATAGTTTAATGAAGTCATGTAAGAAAAATGGGAGCTATAATGCCAACACATAGGGGTAGTGGGAGTACCCAGATAAAACCCATGAGGTTCGACAGCGACCTTACTCCTTGTCACGTACAGGCCTGGGATTCAAACCACACCAGATCGTGTGATCTAAAGCGAAAGTGTTAGACCACCAGCGCCTCCCTCGGTGGCCTTAAATGTACAAATACACAGAATGAATTCTTTTTCCTGTAGTATTCATGAATAATCTATCGCATTCTCGAATCCCACAAAATTCTATAAGAACCCACACCATTACCATAAAAATAGTACAATATGAATTGAAATATGAGATCATTCATTGATGTAGCCCACACGTCTATCGCTATTGTTAGCTTATGTGTAGCATTCGATATGTGCACTCTCACTGTTCTACAATAATTCGTCAAAATACAAAGTATATCACCCTTCCGTATCCACAAAGTCGAATACATCGACTATACTGTTCTATATAGTATGTTTGACATTGACCTTCACCCATTCAGACACGTGCTCATCACTCGAACGAACAATTTACGCATCAGTGACCTTCTACCACTTTCATGTCAAAGTCTGTTAAATTACTGACTCACTGGTCTGTATACTGCGTGATTCGGATACCCTCTAGTTATTCCGCTTACGATTACGAAAAACACCGATTATGTCCGAATGCTTGCGTGTCTGCGTGTGTACACCACGTGATCGGTCGATGTGAAGTGTTGGCACGATGGGATATCGACTGATGTAAGGTAGATTATATACGATCGGCAAGCGAGTGAATAATATTGAATATTGCTTGTAATAAGCGAGAAAGTGACTGGATAAAAAAAGCTCTTTGATTCTCTTCACGGAAGAAGAATTTGTTGTTTCGCTGAGTTGAATTATTTGGTAGCTGATCAGACGTTTGTTTTAATAACTATCACATGTGAACCACGTGTTATCTGTATATTGTACCATATAGTTTGTGACTGGATAATGTTACTGCCTGTCATTTGTATGGATTTTAACACTGTACGGTTGAATTATTTATAGCCGGAAAAAGCTGCATATTTATACAGGTCGACTGTTTATGGATTTTTAATCGATTTGCTATTGACAGGAACGAATTGGATAATCATCACCCGGTTTTTAAAAAGGAAGATTCTAGAATATATCCGATGATTAAAGACTTGCTTGGTGACAGACATGACATTATGTAACGATAAATTCAAAATGAATTATTATATTTGTAGTAAACGATATTAAAATAGCATTTCTACGTGGGTTGTGCTTATATTTTATTTATATATTGGGTGCGTTAGAGATTGTATGCACATAGACATCATTCGATTATTCAAATAAGTTAACCACATCTGTTGCTGTTCAACGCATGATCGAGAATCAGTTGCAATCAAAAACTGTCAATTAACGAATAATTCCAGGACTCAGCCAGTATATGATTAACAGTTAGTGATGAACAAACTGTAAGACTTGAAGACATTCCTGTTTTAACATATCCTATCCGGAACCAACGTCATATATTGAAGAATCACGATCAACGAATAATAAGGTATGTTTAGTTGGAATTATATGTTTTAATTAGTTATTGCGTAATACTTGTCCTGGAAGATAACTTATAAACCAGCTCGCGGAACGAAACTCGTGTGGTCCGGGTGGGGGGGGGGGGCGTACGACTTATTCGGGGTATAAATGGGGCGCTGGTGATTTGTCTCCTAGACTTTTTTTTACAGCTAAAACGAACATATAATTATATGTTTTAATTAGTTATTGCGTAATACTTGTCCTGGAAGATAACTTATAAACCCGCTCGCGGCGGAACGAAACTCGCGTGTCCCGGGGGTGGGGGGGGGGTCGACTTATCCGGGGTATAAGTGGGGCGCTGGTGATTTGTCTCTTAGACTTTTTTTACAGCTAAAACGAACACATATTTACAAATTATACCCCCCCACCCCCGGATGTTCGACTTATCCGGGGTATACATGGGGCGCTGGTGGTTTGTCTCCGAGTCAATTAAACAGCTAACGAACGCATATTTGAAAAGTGTACCCTCGCTCCCATCCCCCGCATGTTTTGATATCGGAAGACTAACCGATTAAACATGTTATTATCTGGTTTCTTTAATTGCGCAATAGATCCTGAAAGTTAATAAATTAATTATCCACCTAGTGGTTATATTGCATGCAAATTACAAATATTCTATTCACAAAATGCATTTCTAAGATCTATGTTAATAGTATATAAAACGGGTGATAAGAAGCGCCAGAATTATTGGTGGAATTTTAACTAACCATATCCTGTTTTAGATATTGCGCAACCCGTATACTATTAATCGATCTAAACGCACTTGGCCTACCCCAAAACTGGACTAAACTCTACTCAAGAAACATGTAGACATAATGATGTACAAACATAGCAAGATGAAAAGATAAGTAGACTAGAGCATATATCATAGCTGAACTTGGTTCATTTATCAAAAAAACCAAAAGCCATTAGAATCTTTAAAATTTGTAGTGTACCCAAATCACAGGACTGAAACCCTCAACAAAAGGCATTTAGACATAATTATTCCAATCTACACAATAGTAATTAAGTCGAAACGAAAATAGAACACACTCATCAAGATGCAAGAATTTTAATACATGTACGTTTGCTTACTTATGCAGACTTACATGTGTGCGTTGTGCATGAAAGGAAGAAACTTCAAAGCTTTTTCTTAATATTAAGAAAAGATAACACTCTGGAAAATAAAATGTACTGAAAGTGAAAGTCTACACTCGGAACTAAAATGAAATGGGTTTAACGTCCCACTGTTCTCCGACTGGGCTAATGAAGACGGATATACGCCATACAGTGTACTATGAGGGAAATGTTGCCCAGGTAGCGGCACTATGGCCTACTCTTGTATCGAATTCCAACTGCCAAGGCATATTTTACGTGCACGCCAATGTGTAAATGGGCCTCGGTTTTTTGTCCCATCCGAACGACTAGACAGTTGTCCTTGTCAGGCCCTCTGTTATGCACAACTGATAAGGTGAAAACACGCCGAAAAATCCCGATGAACTTTCTCGGCCACTGCAGGGATAGAACATAATAGAGAGACTGCGTCTGAAATGAAATGAAGTGGGGTTTAACGTCCTACTGTTCTGCTCCTAACCTGGCCTAATGAAGACGGGCATACGCCATACAGTGTGCTATGAGGGAAATTTTGCCCGGGCAGCGGCACTACGGCCTACTCTTATATCGAATTCCAACTGCCAAGGGATCTTTTACGTGCACGCCAATGTGTACACGGGACCTCAGTTTTTTGTCCCATCCGAACGACTAGACAGTTGTCCTTGTCAGGCCCTCCGTCCTGCATCACTGACAAGGGGGAACCACGCCGGAAAATCTGGATGAACTTTCTCTGCCAATACAAGTGATCGAACACCCGACCTGCAGGCTAGCGAGCCAGCGTCTTACCCACTTAGCCACCGTGACCCCCTAAACAAAGTGAGAGTAGCCTAAATAAGCATGGTATACCCGAAATCACTTCGCTTTGGGGGCGTACACGTACGTGGGTAACAATTTTGCTAAGTATTTTGGAATGAGTAACATAAGGTTAACATTAAATTGTAGCACAAATTAGAAATTTCATCGATTGTGATTGGTCGAAAAGTGTGTCAAATGGACAATATCCCCCCCCCCCACACTAATTTATCAAGGCGAATTACTGTGTATAAATATAACAGTGTACTTTGTTTTTCATTTTTGCGCTCAATGATTTTATTCAACTCAAATCTTTATTGGCAAATATCTTCAAGAAATTCTGCACACATGACTTTCACGCCATTTTCAAACATCATCATTTATGAAAACACATTTCTGAAATACATAAAACTTTTAAAACAGTAGAAAATCAGTCAAAATTTAATTAAATAAGTCAATAAGACTTTACGTATCCATTCATGACCTAAACAAGTTTGGAGGACTAGGACCCAACTTGAATACCATAACAATACCGAAATATTATTCCTGTTTTTAGTTACAGATATGTTCATGTCTGGTAAAATCACAAAGCGCCAGTGTTGGATTTAGATGATGAGAGATCTTATGAAATTCCACTCATGAGACCACACCCCTAATCCTACAACCTCAAGCCTCGGATGATGGCTGATGATTTATATAAAGTTCGTGTAGGAAAATATTATACACCTTGGTTTGGTTGAAGGCCCAGTGAAAAGCGAAGCCCCCGGCTTCAGCCTGCCAATTGGCAAACGCAATTAATTCTAAAGTAACAACAACATGAATTCCACCCCTTATCCCACAACCTCTAGCCTCGGATGATGACTGATGTTTTATATAACGTGCGTGTATGAAAATATTATACACCTTAGTTTGGTTGAAGGTCCACTAAAAAGCGAAGTCCTCGGCTTCCGCCTATCAATTGTCAAACGCAATTAATTCAATAGTAACAACAGCATGAATTCCAAGAGAAAGGAAGAATACAAAAACAGTTTTACTACCAGGAAACATATGCACGATCGATAATGTTATCTGAAAATATTAATCATAATAGAATGTAGAGAACTACACCAAATCGTGAAGCTATTGCTACTGAAATTATTTGAATACTAGCTTAGGTATCCTGCGTTGTATGGCGGAAGCATGTCTTATTAAGCTTTCATATTACATATGAAAGCTTATTGTTTCTGTTAAGATTATTATTGTTATTTTTTTTTTGTGTTTTGTCCACAAATCGGATTTCTCAGAATCTAACCATAGGATCGTTCTGAAACTTTTACCTATCCCCCCAAAAATGGGTGGTGGCTGTTGATTAAATATATTTTCAAAACGTTTTACGAATTCGAAATCACCGAATTTTACGAAGGAATGCATTTGACCTACAATGCTGTAACTTTGTGACTATTTGACCTATTTTACTAATTCTTTTTTCTTTGAGTATCTTGAAACATTTACTTCAAATCTGCAATTTCGGATTTTGGCATTTCGAAAATTCGTCGCTGTCATTTCGAACCGGAAGTTATTACCAATTTGACAACTTCTTTAATAGTTGTGCGATTTTCGTGAAATTTAGAATGTTAGTAGATCTTGCCAATGCGACTTCAATGATGTCCTTGGAAATTTTCTAAATTATCTCCCCTTGGTGAAATTAAGGATCAAAGTTTTCAAAAAAATCGTCGAAATATAGGTCAGAATGACCTAAAAAAAAAATTCGATACTAGACAAGTAATTACTGATTCGTACACAAAATATGGAGTTTGTCGATCGAACCGGAAGTGCCACCATCTTTAAACGTGAAAAATCAAAAAGGCTTTTTTGCTATTTTACTTACATACTCGGGCGTCATATTTTCGGAATCCTGGAAGGAATGTCTAAAAATCTATCGGATCAGAATTTTGATTTCGGTCTTGTGATGGTCACCATTTTGAATTGAAAATGAAAAATAGAAGCAATTTGAAGGGCCGGGACTTTGGAACACAAGAACTCTCCTTCTAATTAAGCTAGAATGTTCAAACTTGGTGTAGGCGTTCACTAGGTCAATGTGATGATTGAGTTCAAAGATGAGCATTTTTTGCCTAGGGTAAGCAGAGATAAGCAAGCTGATTTGTTGATTCTTTAGGGCACGATAACATTGGTTATAATGAATGGAGGGCGATGAAACTCTTGTCAATCGAGAGGCTAATAGCTGGCCTGTTGTGTGAAATCATTGTATCATTTTTTGAAAATGTCCGGGGTAGCCGAAAAAAGGAGATCGAAATCCAAAAAGTCGTATTTTTACGATTTGGGGCATTTTTAGAGGTCGTGTAAAGTAAAATAAAGCATGCATATACATATATTATTGATATTAAATATATCATATAAAAAACTAAACAATGAATCAGCTGTCATTGACAGATTTTATATTATAAGCATGGTCAGTGGAAGGTCAGCGTATTGTCTAACTTGAACTCACTGACTCCGTAACATTATTGTGGGTATGGTATAAGCTGAATTTGATGAGATGCACATATCTCGTATGACTATTTGGTACTTACAAAGTTAGACTTTGTCGTAACGTAAATCAAATTTACGCTGTATTATTCATTACCAAGGATTTAGAAAGGAACGAGAACAATTATTTACAAAATCTCGCTGGGATAAATTCCGTGAATGTGCCCATGAATGGCTAAAACTTGATGGGCGAGCGAAATGGATAGCTGAACAGGCGACTTCGGGTGATATAATCAAACAAGGAATTTATCGACGCGCCAAAAGATACTGGATTTCACCCAACATGCTACAGGCCTTTTACAGACAAATTCCGAATTGGGTCTGCCCGTAATCGTATAGATAAAGAAAAATTAAAATCCCCGGCTACAATCCAACCAGGGAATAGCGGGAGTGTAGACGATCTAGGACCTAGCTCTCCAAACAAATTACGCTCCTGAAGCAAAAAGAAAGAGTAAATCGGTGCTGCCTGTTGTTTGTATTATATGTAAAAAACGTGACAGATTTGTCACTGTTGGAGAAAATAGGAAGAAGGATGTATTAACACAGACTCAGACCCAA